CATACGGGGATGGGGGCAGCTCGCGCTCAACTTCATCAACGTGGCGAGCCTTGCACGTGAGAGGCACAGTGGAAGTGGAATTCAAAGAAGAATGAGAAATTTAATGGTTTCAATCTGCCCTTGCTTTTTCTTTTTGTTTTTGTTTTTATTTTTGCAATGTGCCCGTTTTTTGTTTTTATTCTTTGTTTCGCAAAGTGCGCTCTTTTAGTCTGTAGTTGTGTGACAATATTTATATCCTAGGTACCCTCAAGGACAGTGGTTAGTGCCCAACCGTAACTGGGGTTAGGGTGGATTATCACTTACAGAAGGGACTCTGCCTACTTCAGAGGGTTCCGCCTTGCTGTGCTGCCCTCAGTCTGCAGTCAGGAACGTTTGATGTAAAGCCTGATCAATGGTCCTGATCGCAGGCCCAAGTCCTGGTCCTGCGTCCCTGGCCTACCCCAGCCTTTCTGCCTTTCTGCCTACGACTCACCAATCAGTTCTCTTTGACTACAAATTTTATTCTTTATGACTTCTGTGGTGGGTAGGAGCAATTTGTGTCAGATGTCTAGCACAGGTCACTTCTACAACAGTTACGAGGGGGGGATGGAGTGCCACATGTCTCCTGGCCATAGCAGGATTGAGTCAATTGGGATTGTGTCATCCCAGCCTCTTTCTATCAGCTTCCCTATTTGCCTTCGCCTTCTCCTCCTCCTCCTCCACCTCTCCCCACTGCCCTTTTGTCTTTGCTTTCCTTGCCCGATGTCGCACAACTTTCAACTGCTTGTGCGCGTTGCTGCTTCTTAGCTATCGGACTTTTGAAATTCGTTATCTCATTTTGAAGTTCTCTCTCCTTTTGAAATTCTTCTTTCTTCTCCGATGTGTTGACAGGTGTACTTGGCTCTCAGTGCGGTACTGCATGGCACAACATCTATCAAGCTCCAGGTCATCATATCTGCTGTAGCAGGTAGCCAAGATTCAGCATCTCAAGGGGGGGTGCTTGCGGTGCTGACGGAGTTGAAAAGTCCGCAGGCGCGTGGCAATGGGAAGGAGAGTCCATGGACTGAGGCAAGGAAGCAAACGATGGAGCGGCAGGCCTGTGTAGAGGTGTGTGTGAGGGTGGGTGGGTGGCTGGACGATTCGATGGACTTTTCCTGTTCTCGCAATGACCGTGATCAGATGTTTGTTAAGTTGTGTTCACACTGTTCGAAGCTCTCTCCTCAGAAGTCTCTCCTCTTCTCTTCACAAAGGGCCTTTTCATGTCTCAGAGTGACAGGCGGGGAGAAGCACAGGCGGGGCGAGAATCACAGGCAGGGRGAAGCACCGGCCAGCACCAAGCTGATCAAGTTCCTAATGGCTGCGCAATTCGGCTGTGGGGTGCGATGTTTGAGAAATCACTGCCAACCATGCAATGTCATTGAAGGTCATTCTCACTGTAGAGATCTTACTTGGAACTGGCCAATACTAGGTGCGGTGCACGAGGGAGAAAAAAAAATGCAAAAAAAAAACGTTTTCAATTTTTACGAATCCGAATGATGATGTTGAGCAAGTGTCTCAGCCAGGCGTTGCTCAAAATAAGGTTCTACATCACTTTCCCTATTTCAAAATAGTTCAAGAAGTCTTTGATGGCTGTACAGTGTTTCTGTGGAGCTGTGGATTGTTGTTGGCAGGCTATATATGTGTTTTTTGTTCGGGAGGGGGGGTGGGGTGGGGTTGAGGGGGGACGGGCCAGACTATATATAACGTTTCTTGCTGGGGACAGTCTTTGTCCTGCTCTTGCTCAGCTCTTCATCTCGTCAACTTTTATATCGCTGGTTTCTGTATGGGTTCTGTGCTCACTTGTTCTTTCGCGGAGATGATAACGGGTTCCCGAATGACTGTTAAGTTGTTAACGAATATAATAAGATTGTGTCACGGCATGACCCTGCTGTCGAGAAAATGCAAGGTCATCAGCTGTCCTTTTGTAGAAAACATGCGATGAACAGGATTAGTATTTGTCATCCATTTTACAAATTTATGTGATACTGTTGTATGTGGCATGAATTGCAGGTCCTTGCAAAGATGAGCTTCGAGATCCCACCTGAATGTGTTGTGGCCGGTGACGAGGCTGCAGTGGCTCTTGGCCCCCCCCAGCAGCAATCATCCCTTACTCCACAAGTCACACCAACAGCTCCCAAAGGTGGTGACCCATTCGCAGCTAGTGCAAGCTTGGAGGATGACGACTTTGGTGCGGTGTTTGGGAAAAGACATCAGCGGAGAGATAGTATGGCTGCCCTTTTAGAACTGGAAGGAGGACACATCGCGGGAGGAGGGGCAGATGGTTTTGGGATGGGTGATGGGTTTACTGGTGGACTTGGAGGCCTTGAGGAAGGGTTTGAAGGCGACTATGGGAGTCTTGATTTGGGAGACGCCGATGATGCCTTTGGGGGCGGATTTGGGGATGCGTTTGATTCTACTGGAGATGCTTTTGGAGGTGGTTTTGATGCATCAGAATTCGGTGCATCTTTTGACGCAGACAGCGGTCTTGACACGGACCTGGGCGAGTTGGTTGTAGGGTCTGGGGCTCGAGCTGCGGAAGCTCCAGGCGGTCCGGCAAAGACAGGGGCTGACCCATTCCCACATCCAACTTCTCCGGAATTCAACCGTTCAGATAGTCGCGACATGTTTGATAGTGGATTCGGAATGGCTTTAGTACCTGCACCTTCTTCTGGTGCAGATATGGGATCTATAGGTGATGAACCATGCCCGCTCCTTCAGCTGCACTATGTTCTTGTGTGTGTTTCGCTTGTGTGCATGTTCAAGTGCATGCTCGTGCACATGTTTGTGCGTGTGTATGTGCGTGTTGTCATGTTCGCTATGCACAACTCCACAAAGAAAAGCACAACTGTGCCAGACTGTTTTGTTGGAGGTTGAACCCCAACAGTCTGCCCAGTGTGTGTGTGTGTGTGTGTGTGTGTGTGTGTGTGTGTGTGTGAGTGTGTGTGTGTGTGTCTTATTTCGGCTGTCATCTTCACAGCATGGTAGATGCTTGCAGGCTTAGAAATCAGGAAGTCATGTTAGGATTCGCGTTTTTAGATTCTCCATTGCATTAACAGACACTGAATCGACCAATGTTGTGCGATTTTGCTTGCCCCGGCGAATGCCACTGATCATGGGGCCTTAAAGCTTCTAGTTTCACATGTTACAGATATGAGGCTCACTGAGTGGGCATTTGATTATATCCTTTCAAATTGCACTTGTCGTCTGTCTTTGATTTTATCAGGACTCTCCTCTCTCTGTGTGTGTATGCCTTTACGAGACTGCCCTACCACGTGAAACAATCCCTGCAATCTTTTTCACTTGTAGCTGACATATTGTGATTTGCCGGAAACACTGCTTTCATGTCAATCGGTGTGGGAGATTTTGGGGATGGGCCTTGTCTGTGCTGTCTACTTGTGCAGATGGTGCAGTGGAATCGCCGGGAGCAACTCGAGCTGCGGTGGTTTGGATGGAGGAGGTTGTGCATGCTGAGTTCAGAGGGGTGGAACTTGTCAGGGTTGGCCTACAGGGTGAGGTACATCTGCGACCGTCTCCTCCCAGCATGATGGGGGGAGTTGCCGACACAGAGCTGTCCTTCCGTCTGGAAGGAACGGCAGGTGTTAAGGTAGGTTCTATGTACTGTGTACATTTTTCAACCCTCAGTTGCCTTTTGGTTGATCATGTGATCTGGATCGGGTGTGGGTTCATCATCCAGCTTTGGCAAGTTGTATCCAGTTGTTTCATGATGTTGTCGCTTCTGTTGTTGATAGAGGTGCCTTGGTCCTTGTGTCCTGGCACACGATCCACCAGAACCATACTTGCGGCTTACCAGTGGGGTGCGCCTTGCGCTGTCCGTGGACCTAAGATGTGAGCGCACGTGCGCACACGTCGCACAAAACGCGTACAGGTGCACCGCACCTTGCAGGCCGCTACTTCACTGGTGCGCCGCTGGTGCGCAGGCCTTCTTTTCTTGCTTTTTTTTTTGTGTGTGTGTGGTGCAGGGCTCTACTTCACTGTGTTCGTGAACTTTGATGAAGGGCAGCGTTCCTCGAATGTATCCTTCTAATTGTCAGGTCGAATACATTCGTGATGAGCAGCCGTTTTGAAGACACGACGCTGCCCTCTATCCAAGTTCCCACTCTCCATCCAAGTTCCTGCCCTGTATGGAGGGCAGTGTTGCCCCAAATGTATCGTACCCTATTATCAGGGCACATACATTCATAATTGGCAGTATCAGGAGAATAGCAAAAGACGAATAAAACAAAGCTACCTATCCGACAACACTCTGTATGTCTGGAAAAACAAAAGCAAGGGAAAAAAAAACAGACCAAGAGAGGGGGGTATCTCGTATCTCCCCCTACTTTTCTGGATGTATCTTACGGCAATGATGCCTGGAATCACGTCCGTAGCTGAGTCTAGAAGGTCTTAGGGCCTGGCTTCACTACTCACCACATGCACAATGTTACGATCTTGGTCATTCCCAAAGTGCAATTTCACAATGAAAGACAATGCCACCCAATTGCGAAAGAAATGAAAGCACTTGCAAAGAGATAGAGACCAAAGAAGAGAGAAAGAAGAAGAAGAAGAAGAAGAAGAAGAAGAAGAAGATGTACACCAGCAAGACCAATGACAAATCCCCCTACTCTCTCCACCTTCCTCCTCCTCCTTAACTTTGCCAATCTTATTCTTCTCCCAATAATAATATTAACAATTGAGTGCATGAACCAGAATCAATATCCAAAGTTCCCTCTTACTGCTGAGACAACAACAACAGGTCCACCATAGCTATGGCTTCCCCCCTTCTTCCACCTCTCACAAGCCTAGGCTATGGCGGACAACTGAGGGCTCTGCCCCTCTCTGTGCAAAGGACAACACAAAGCAGCTATGGCGCTGCACTCCTGTCCAAAGGACAACCCAAAGCAGCTATGCCGCTGCTGACTAAGCCGCCATGCCTGACTCTGCCTCGAGCTTCCTTGGTGCGGCACTACCCCAACTGGGGCCTTCCAGATGCATCGCTCAACAAGGTGATGAAGATGGTGTCCACCATAGCCAGGTAGGTACCTCGCCACTCTCCTTCTCGCCCCCGTCTTCCTCCTCCTCAGGCTGGGCTGCTCGCCATAGCCAATCTGAGCGCCCAGCTGCCCTTCACCTCCAGGCAGCGCTGTGCAAGTCCAGCGCTTCGCTCAGCAGCATGTCGCCAATCCTTGCATACCGCAAATGAGGAGGAGCTACTTGCTCCTCCGGAAGATATAGCGGCCTACTGGCCTCTTGGGCGGTGACTTCCTAGGCCGAGTGGCCTCCCAGCAACCGGTACCTCCTCCCTTTCGGAGGGAAACATCGTTGCAGGCTCTGCTATCGTCCGGACAGGCCCTAGACTCTGGCTACTTGGACTGGTACCGGCCTACCTCTATCCTACCGCTACTGGGCCTCTAAAAATGCCAACTTTTTGTCTTCTTCTGCTCGGCCTCCAGTACCCGACACTCCTACCACTACTTGAGTGGTACCGGCCTACCTGCTACTTGAGTGTTTTTTTCCCCGCTGCTCTTAGTGTCACGGGCCTACCCCCGCAACTTGAGTGTTTTCCCTGCTGCAACCCTCAAAGTCACGACCACAGGTAAGTACCGGCCCTGCGGGGCCTTTCAACCATCAAGTACCCTTGCGGGTCACACACACACTCAGCCAACAAGCACTCAGACAGGCATGCAAACCAGCAGGCACGCACACACACACAGACTTGGAAACCACAGCAGAATGCGGGAATCTCAGCAAGGCATTCATTCCAGCGGCAAATCCCAGAAATCAGCAGTGTTCTCAGTCTGTGTTTTTGGCGGGTCATTACAAAAATAAAAATTGTGGTGGTGTATATTTCCATGTTCTAGCGGAACACTCATTCTGATTTTGCACCATTGATGAATAGTGGAGCGACGTCCCTAGTCTCAGCAGGCCCTCAAAGTTAACGTTGTCCTGCCTATTATTAGGGGAAAAAAAGAGAGCTTGTCAGAAGTATCCATTGTCCACAAACGGAGCGGCGCTCCATTACTCAACACGTGACATTCAGAACGTATTAGGAGCGTTAACAGCTCCAGATAAATGTAGACTCTTTGTGCAGTGGAGCCAGGCCGATCTTGAATCCATCTTCAACCACAGGACACATAACACATATTTCGGGGGCCGCTGTAGTTCGCAGCAGCCAATTTTGTTTTCCCTCGTGGAATCCTATTTTTCCGAGGGAAGGGAACGGGTGTGTCATCCAACCCTGCCTCTCCCATTTTTTTTATTTTTTCCTACCCCTATTTTAGGGGGTGCGGCGCACCACGCGTGTGCGCACTTTGCGCCGGACGTGCGCAATGCGCCGCAAGTATGACCTGAACTCATCACTCCTGAGTCTTCACTTGTCCTTCCCTATGTTGTCATCTCTATTCCACCCTCCCGACGGTTCATTTGACTTCCTTTGCTCCACCTTTCCTCTCTGTGTTTCTCCATAGCCTGTCCACCTTTCCTCTGCCTCTTTTTTACAGTGAGATGCAAAGTAAAGGGGCGTGAAAGAGGAAAAGTGTCAACAGAAGAGAAAGAAAGAAATTACAGTCAACAGAAACCAAAGAAACAACTAACGTCAACAGTAAGGAATAAAAGAACTGTGCAGAAAAATGCGAAAAGAAGAACGCTTTCAGTGTCCCTCATGCCGGCTGCTGTTTCATTCATTTGTTTCACAAAGTGTGCTCCCTTGACGCTGTTGAAAATCAGTTGTTGTATGACCATAATAGTCCACGTCCTGAAGGTAGTAACTATACTAGCCCAGGACGCTTTACTGTAAATGTCTTACAGTTACCGTTCCACGGTCGCCACCTTCTTATGCATCATGCGACGCCAGGCGATGACCTCAATAACCATCGCCATATTTCTGCCTGTATTTTACACAGACCTGGGCATGATATGGCACTCATTCGTGCAGCTGCCCAGTGGGAACTGTGGGATGGTGGGACGATGAGTCAAGCTATTTTCAATGTAAATGAATTTTTGCGTGCATTGTCGAATCATCCTTTATTCTGGATTATTGACCGACTCTCGTGTGACACCTGTCGGGACAGAGACGCGGTGCGCCTTGGCTGTGGAATGCATCATGTATGCCATAGCCATTATCAATCTATTGCGGCTGCCGCCGTCTGTACTGAAGGGTGTCCAACATTTCCTCATTGTACACATCCCTATCACCCAGATATGCGTTGTCCCTTTTGCGTCCAACGACGCTATCAGAACTGCATGATGCCTCACTGTGATGAACGTCCTGCTGTTTTTTGACATGTGGACAACATGTCCTCTGTCAGGACTGTTTTGATGGGTTGGTTCGTGCTAGCTGTCCTGCTGAATGCTGTGCTGGTGCAGCTCTCCTTGGGTATCCTTGTGAACATCCACATCATCCTCACCGTAGCTGTCCTATCTGCCGAGGTGGGGACAGATAAAGCCTTCAACACTACCGGCAGATAGAGTTAAAGAAAAGAAAAAAAAAAAGAAAAAAAAAAGAAACCTTAGAAAACAAGAAAACAAGAAAAAATATGTTGACCTGTGGGATGTGTTATTTGCTTTGTGGCAATTGGATTATCTCAATTTATCTGTGGGATGTGTGATTTGCTTTGTTTGACTGATAGGCTTTCTTTCCTGTCAGGTCTGGTTTCCTTCTCCTTTTCTTTACCTGTTTGCCTTTTGACTGCGTGCAAGTGGGTCCTTGTGACACACAAGGATGGGGGCAGCCAGCGCGCAAGCTGTCATCCACGTGGCTGGCCTTGTATGTAAGAGGGGATGAGCAGTTGGGGCTTTCCTTCTTTTCCTTTTCTTGTTTTTTTTTTTTTTTTTCCCCGCCTTTGCGCTCCGATTCACAGTTTGACAATATATATGTACATGACACGTTGACAACACATACCACGACATGACATCACTACATGACAATGTATATCATGGTTATGCTGGACCAGTCCAGACGTCGGGCCAGACTTGTGTCTGAACTCCTCTGGACCGTCCGGATTGAAAACCCCCTTTTAAAAAAGGGGTAAAAAAACGTTTTTGTTTTTTCCCTTGGATTTGGCTACGAATTTTGAGATGGTCTTCAGCGAAAAAACTTTCGTATTTTGCAATGCTGCATAACTTATCTATTTTTCAGATCTTTTTGATTTTTTTCCTTCTTGAAAGTCGGATTTTTCTTTGGGATGGGGGTGGGGGGATGGATCCGGACACTCTGGACCGCACACCAGACCCGGACATCCAGACCCAGACTGTCTGCACTGCAGTCGGGACGTTCAGAGCGTAACCGTGATGTATATCACTACGTGACAATGCGTACCACTCTTTCTTGTGCAGAATGACGCCGTAATTTACCTGCCGTGGTTAATACAAGGGGGAACCACAGCCCTTGGTTTCTTCTACTTGTTGGGTGCGGAAATGTCTTTTATTGCTTTCTCAGGATGTTTTCTGCTTGTCCTCATTGACAATTTTGTGCTCTCCTCCTCCCTTTTTTCCTAATGTTATGAATCCCTTAATGACACTTGGCAGGTCCTGGGCCATCAAGGCATTTTGGATCTTCATCTGGTGTGCTCCATTGCGGCTAATGGTCCTAATATCATGGAGGCAGTACTGCAAAAAAAGAAGATTGTTTGCCATGTTGGATCATAAAAAGTAAGAACGAACTCATAAATCATTTCAACAAAAGATTGCCAAGCATTGGGTACTAAATGACCTCCATTCATGGTGACAAAATGAAATAAAAGACTATTATAAAAGCAAAATTCAGAACATGTCTAAAACAATACCTTATCCCAAGAGGCTCGACACTTGCGAGAGCCGACGAAGGCCTCTAGCGAGCCTCTGGACTCTGGAGGCTCGTGGGAGAGTTGGAAACAAACATAGGAAACACAGCATGGTATAGACAATTTAGAGTTAGGCTTCATAAGGATAAATAAGCTCAAATTAGTTAAACGCAAGTCAACTTTGGAGACTTCCATTACTCCACAGGCCGTTGTGAAATCTCTGCCAATGCGGCCTGTGTTTTACATATGATTTTCTTTGTTAACAGGAGAATCATAATGAACAAATGTTGCACTTCTTTTTGGATCTGTTACTGGAACTGAACTTTGTGTTTGCGTTTGTGTGGGTGGATGCTGATGTTTGGTCGGGTCTAGCGAGCTGTCATGAACAATGCCTTGGTTAGTAGTGTTGGAGAGGGCATCTTTTACATCCGTGCGCCGCCATCTGAGAAGTCGTCGTGCTTGCTCAAGTACAGACTCCTTCCGCGTTTTACTCCTTTGCCATTGAGAATCAGGTAAGGAGGGCATGATTGCGATATTGTTCTCCCCCAGACCCCCTCCGATTACTTTTCACTAAACTACCACTACTTTAGGTTGGTGTCCCATTGGGAAAATGACCTCATCCTCTAGGCTACCAGAGTGGCCCGGGTCCACTTGCCCAGCCGGGCAAAAAAGAAATAAAAAAGTAAAAATGATTTTTTAATTAAAATTTTTATTTTGGTAAAGAATTTCGATGTGACCCTGAGGGAAAAGTTGTTCAGTTTATTTTTCTGCATAACATTGTTGTTGTTGTTTTGGATTTTTTTGGATTTTTTTGGATTTTTTTTTTTGTTCTTGGCTGGGACCTTCCCTGGTCCTTGCACGGCCGGGCCGCCCGGGAAAGTAGGGTGACCCGGGCAGCCCGGCTGGTAGCCTAGTTTATCCTAAAATTTTGGAGGCCAGGCCCAACGCGCAGCCGCCGTTGATAAATTTGATCGGTGGCCGTTTTTGCATTACCGGCCACCAAAAATCTTCGGGGCCTTGGATGGGGCATCCTCTGCGGCCGACACATGTGAAAGGTACTGGTGGTTTAAATGCATAATTTCTCCACCTGTGACATTTGGCTCGTACCTCTCCACCGTTGTCCTCTGTGCTTTTTCTTGTTTTCGTATGTTAGTTGAGTCTGACATTGAATGTTGTGCTTTGGCTTGCATTTTCACCTGCTGGGTTCGTCATTCCGGATGGGGTCCAAGGTTGGCGACCATGGAGATGGTGCCTTCTTTTAGTTTACCCACATGTGTTATGATTCTGGTTGTTTGCTGTCTGATGACCAACACTCACACACATAGACTTCCAGGTATGCCCATACATACACAGAAGGAAGGGGAGAGGATAGGAGTATCACACTGCACAGGGAGAGATAACACAGCAGAAGACTTGACCATGCGATATGACAGGGTACACTGAAAGTGCGATTCACTCCACTCAATCCTCACAACCAGTCTTAGAGAAAGCCGAGCAGATCACATCCAGGAGACAATGAAACGATGATAGTCCAAACCCAGTTATACACTGTTTATTTAAACTCAGAGTCTCGAATTGTCAGGATAACTTCAGTACTACAGTGCACTGCTCAGAATTGAGCAGCGCTTCACTCTCCACCCCTGATTAACACCCATAATACCCCTGAGCCCCTGGATCATCAAGCGCCACCCAAATATAGCCTCCACAGGGAAGCTCCACCCTGAAACAGGCCTCTGAGGCCAAGCGCCACTCAGAGGATGAAGAAGAAGACCAGCGCCACAGTATCTGATGATGACGAGGTGTCGGAAGACTTCCCGGGTGGAAGTCTGCAGCAGCGCCACCAAACCCTGACAAGATGACCTCTGAAGAAGAAGCTGCAGCTATGGCTGCGACACCATCACCCTAGAACCCCACACCGGAGGAGGGTCCAGCAGGGCACCAATCTCTCTCGCCTCCAGCAGACGTCGATAACCCAGACCTCTGTCAGCCCCTGCGCGCTGGCAGAGTACAGCGCAGGTCCCAGCTATGGCCGGCGCTCCGAAGGTCTGGCTATGCCTGTCTCCTTCCACGCTGAGCCGTCACCACTTCCGGTTCACCCGTAGCACAGCAGCAGCCCTGAACCGATGTTGCCTATCCTATCTACAGACTACAACTAGCCTAGACTCGACCTAGACCGGACTGACTGACCGAACGGTACCGTATCTGCTTCGGCCTCTCGGCCTCTACCGGACCCGGCTATAGGCTATAGGACCGTCTATCAGAATAGGCCCTTAGGGCCTGTCTGTCCTAGGGGTAGCCCGGGCCTGCTATTCGCAGTTAGGGTAGCTGTAGGGAAGTCGGTTAGTACCGGGCCTGCATTTTCCCATATTTGCAGATAGGTCCATCACGATTTTCCCTCAAAGGTAGGTTTCTCGGTTAGCCTCATCCAAACAAAATTACGAATCTGTCCTACCTAAAGTACAGCCTTGACAGAGAGAGGCTACAGGCGACCAGAAAACAGCAAGTCATTGCACATGCATCGGGTCATCATGGCTCATGGGGGTTTGAAAGGACATCCCAGTACATTGTTGATATTTGTCAGAGCTGCACTCTTCATTGAATTGCACACAGTGCTAAATTTTCAATCCTACATATCTAAATGATATTTTTATGTTGCACTCGGCTCAATCTCCTTTCAAAATTCACCCTTTTCTTTTTCATCTGGTGCACCTTCTGCATTCATGGCTGTCTCAACGTTATGCGTATTGAAAATCTGCGGCTGAAAACTGTTGGCCACCTGTGTGTTTTTTTAGTTAAGGCACATCCCATCTCCCTGCTCCTTTCTCTGCATCTCCTTCACACTCTCCCCTGTTTTTTGTCTCCATGGTCATAGAAGGGGGTTCTCACCCCTGCCACGGCCGCCGGATCCTCATGTTCTCTTTTTTAATTAATATTTTTATTATTTTGCCAATTTGGACCGTTTTTCTCAATTTATGTGTGACATCCTTGCGCAGTGGCCATGCTGATCTCTTCTCTGTGTCATTCCAATTTTAACAGATGTCTGGAAAGACAGAATCCCCATGTTCTGTTTTCCTGGAGCAGAAGCTTTGCTGGTTGGTAGAACGGAGCAGTTCATTGTGCTACTGTGTATGTTCTTTCAAATCGGCTTTGAGCCTACTTGTGGCCTTTGATGTTTTTTTTTTTTTTTTTGGTTAACAATCTGAAGATTCTGAAGTTTGAACTGCTGTTGACGCTTGACTTGCAGGCTTGTGTCGAAGGTCATTGGCGATTCGGTTGCCTGGATGTTACAGGTGAGTGTTTTTTTTTTTTTTTTTT